GGGTCAGGAGGGAATTTTCCTGGACTGATAGAAAAATTGTGGTTGCATTTTTTTGTGTGGTTTTGGGTTTGGTTTTTTTGGGGTGGGGCTTTGGTTGTTTGTTGGGGGTTTTTTTCTGCACTTCAAGTTCACATCTATTTTCTAGATCCCATGTAATGTTTTTCAGAAATTCCCTGCCATCGCCCGGCTGCAGACCTGGTGGTCCCTTGATCTCCCCCCTGCTTACTTCCCATGCATGCTGCAGCTGCAGCTTTTTTGCTGAGAGGAGCCAGGAGCAATTGCAGCCCCTGGCTTGTGGGGCGAGTGGAGCAGGTGTCCCATTTAGAGGCACCAGCAGAACATTCATCACATCTTTCCTCACAACTGCAGGACGCTTGACTATGGGGTGGCCCTGGAGGACTGCCCCAATGTGAACACACGATGCCTGCAAAAGCAGCTGTTAAGAGGGAACATGGGAATTGACCCAGGCTCTCAGCTGTACAAGCACAGATTTAAAGCACGCACAACCGCTGGCCGGCCTCCAGGGCTTGCTTGCAGGCAGGCAGGGATTTGGGACAAGGGATGTGTAAGAGAGCGGAGAAGGTGTGGGAACGAGGTAGCCCCAAACCAGCAGGCCCTGCCTGCCGTAGGGGAATGAGCATCTCTCTCTGCTCTCAGGGGCAAATCTGAGCCCACGTTTCCAGTGATCCCCACACCAAACTCCCACGGTCCCTCTCTGCAGGTACGCTGAAGCTGGGTGCCCCTGCGAGGCTCCCCGCGCAGGGAGCCCAGGCTGGGGAGGCACAGCCACGACACAGCAGCAGCCTCTGCTTTGGGTCAGGACCTCGGAGCTCTCAGATGTGCTGAGTCAGCCTGAAACTCAAGGGCTGGTGGTCCCAAGGAAGGGAACGGGTGCAAACAGCAAGCAGCATTGCCTAGCCAGGTTTGTGCCTGGCACCTCTCCCCAAGGGGGTCCCTGTCAGCTCTCAGGATGAGCATGCTGAACATCTTAAGTGTGAACATCCTAAGTGTGGAGAAGCACACCCACCTCGTGGCAATGTGGGTGCTCAGCACCTGGAAGCACCCAGCCCCAAGGCCCCAGAACAATCTTTCCTGAGGATAGGCGGCTCTGCTGTTGCTGGGGAAATGTTGAGCTCTGCAAAGCAGCGGGGACAAGGGCTGTGCGGCCTCCGGCCCTGGGCAGGCCTGCAAGGAGTGCTGCTGTCAGACTCTCCGGGTGGCCTTTTGCACATGGGGTCCAAACTAGCTTACGTGTGGAGCACAGGCCCCTCATCTTCCAGGCTTCACCCATGATGAAGGACCACTCCGAGTGCCCTTCCAGCTGCTTTCTAGCTTGGAGATTGCATTCAGGACATACTAACGCAAGAGGGAGCGAGAAGGGAAAGGGAGGAGGAAGGTGTGAAACCACCGACGTCCCTTGGAAGTTTGTTCCAGCAGAAGGGCGCAGACGGCAGGGCCTGGTGCAGGGAGGGTTAGGGACAACCACAAAAGAGTAGAGTCTGCAGCAGGAACAGAAGGGGAAAGGCTGAGAGCGCCTTGAAGAGAAATAGGGTGAAAACCCCAGCTCCGCTTAGTGACCTCTGAGAAAACACCCTCAGCAGCCGTGGGCTGCTGCAGCTCGGGGCAGAGCCACTCACGCAGGCAGCGAAGGATGCTGTGACTTGTAGGAGGGAGGCTGGTGGTCCTACACACACCCTGTGCCTTGGGGGAAGCAGATTTGCTTCCAAGACACTCCCCCCAAGAGATGGGGTCCCTACAAAGCTCCAGCTCTGTCCCTCACCTCTGGCAGGAGAAACCCCCATGGGTACCGCTGATACACCCCAGACTCTTCCAAAAGGCACCTGTGAGCCAAGGAGGACTATTCTGGGCCAGCGAAGTGGCCACCAGCAGGACCTTTCCTATTGGTGTGTGCAGAGGAGAGCCAAGGCACAGCTCTACCTTGGGAGCTCCAGGTCTGAACTCCCGAACTGGGCTCTCTGCAGTACCGCAGGGTGGTCCGGCTGGTGTGGGGAGGCACACGGAGCTGCCGGCCGTCGCGCCAGGGGCCGTCCACACAGGCCACAACTCCAACAAGAGCCAAAGGCAGGCGCGTCCCACCGGCGCTAGAGCTCTGGGGATGCATCCATGCCGCCCTGCTACCGCCACAGCTACGCTCACCTCTGCGGCTGCAGGCCTGAGCGAGGGATCTGCTCCTCACAGCTGTCCCCCAAATCCTCTCCAGACAGCTCCCGCCAGCACTCACGCTTCCAAAGAGCTGGCTGTGCACTGCTTCCCGCTGTCCTGCCTCCTCTTTGCAACGGCGCCTTTGCCGCCGGCGGGGCGGCAGGAAAACACCTTTCTGCAACTCTCACACCCTCCACAACAGACCTTAAATCAATAACCCCAGAACACAGGGCTGGGTTATTGCTAACGGAAACCATTAAACTGTAACACGGGGGGATAAAGCCAGCCTCTAACACTTGAAAGATTTATAGGGCACAACAGCAGGGTGTTAATTCTTTTGGCAACACAAACGCTTTCACACTCCCTGCCTTTCCTCACCTGCAGGAATGAGGAGAGGGGACCATGTGTGGCCCAGCAACGCAAGGACACAGCCATGTTCATGCTGCGGCCAGTGGCACACACATTTGGGGTGGCGCCACGCTCACAGGGCTGCCCGAATGCACACACCTCAGGTCCATGGAGTAGCGCATCCCCAGGGGTCCTGGGGGTTGTTCGGCCAGGGGACGTCCCCCACACCCAGCTCGGGCTTCCCCGACATTCCCAGCTCCCTCCTGCCTCCACAGCTGCAGCAGAGGTTCAAGGAAAGGCTGCAAAGAAACTTTGAGACCAGCTAAAGCAGTTGGAGAAGGCAGCCCAGCTTTTGCGCTCACGAGCCTTTCTTCGGACCTGAATCAGCCTACAGCTGTTTTTGCAGCTGGCAGAACCGGC